CGACAGGGGTCACCTCCGCTGCGTTCAAGTGGTACCAGCAGAAGGCTCAAGTCACAGCAGACGCCGAAGGGTGGGGGGCCAGGCCCGTTCCCCCCCAGGGTCCTAAACATTTCATGAGATTGTGGGAGAGTTCACAGGACACCAACGGGGCGTAATACTGATGGGTGGAAGAGGCGGCAGCGCGGGGGGCGAGCGCTACCCCCCCCGGTCCCGAGGCCCTTTGCTGGCTTTTGCCTGGCCACCACCGGACCCCGCGCTCGCACGGCAGCAAGCTCAGTTACCGCATGATCCGTTTCGGGGTCCTAAACATTTCATGAGATTGTGGGAGAGTTCACAGGACACCAACGGGGCGTAATACTGATGGGTGGAAGAGGCGGCAGCGCGGGGGGCGAGCGCTACCCCCCCCGGTCCCGAGGCCCTTTGCTGGCTTTTGCCTGGCCACCACCGGACCCCGCGCTCGCACGGCAGCAAGCTCAGTTACCGCATGATCCGTTTCGCTTTGATTTTTCACGACTGGGGTTTTGTTTTTCTTTTTCCTGCTTCGACTGCTTGGTTTTTCCTTGTTTCATTTTGTCGAGGAGTCTTGGCAAAAAGCAGCCCTGGGAAGATGCTGAGACTCGGCCTCCTTTTTACCATCAAGGACCAAGACTTCTTCCCCGGGGGCAAAGCTCGGGCCTGGGCCGGGCGCAGCGGCGGGCACGGAGCCGTTCTGGGAGAGGGAGGCCCGTGGCCATCACATGATGCCGTTGGTGAGGTACTGGAAGCCATCATAGAGCTTGGTGGTGATGGAGCGCATGCTGCCGTCCACCATCTGCTCGATGAGCAGCTGCAGCTGCTCCTCCGTCATGTTCATGTGGAACCGCTCCTTCAGGTTGCGGATGGTGGACGAGCCGTGGAAACAGGGGAGCTGCGACCCTGCAGGATGGGAGAAACAGGGTTTGGTACAGGAGGACTGGGGCGAGCGCAGCCCCCCAAGGGCTCAGTGGTCTCCCCCCAGCTTGTTGCTGGCTCCGAGGCTGGTTTGTGGCACGGGGATTCCCCCGGCGCTGCCAGGCGGTGTCAGGGTTAGTCAGGACCTGCCGCTGCAGAGGACGCCGCCGCATTTACGGCCTGTTCACACACTGAGGGAATGGCCACCCCCTTCCCTTGGGTGTGTTTTAGGCTTCCCCGGGGCACAACGATGCTCAGCCATCGCCACAGGCACGTTTCTGCTCTCTTCCTGCTCCGCGGTGCAGCCCGAGTACCCCCACGCCCTGCGAGATCCGAGAGGCAAAGGAGGGCCAGACCCCAGGGCCGGGGGACGCTCCCTCTCCTCCCCAGGAGACACTCACCCTGCTCAGACCCACGCAGTGCTCAAACCTCCGACACAGCCGGGCAGACGCAGGGCACCCCTCGGCCTCACAGGATCCAGCGTCCAACCCCTTTCCCTGGGCCAGGAGCTCCCCGTGCAGACCCCAGTTCCTAACAGCGCGGCCCTGAGCCTCTCCTGATACGAGGCTTCTCCAGCCACTCTCCAAACCCCACAAGCTTTCCTCCACGCACCGAGGCTCAGCGAGCCATTTCTGGGCGATGCTCTGCAGCCCGGACCCACACGCGGCGCCTCTGGGGGCCTCTGGCTCCCCTCACCTTGCTGCATGATCTCCACGATCTGCACAACTTTATCCATGTGCTTCCGGGCAGCGATGAGCCCCTGCAGCATTAGCATCTTGTAGTAGTTGAACATGTCCCCGTCCAGCCCGCCCATCACCTGGAAGGGAGAGGCTGTGTGGGTGGAGGGCAGCGGATCAAGAAACTTTAGGCCAACAGCGTGCCCTGAGCAGAGGGACTGTCAACACGAGGGGCACGATGGCATTTTTAGGGAATTTCACTTCTCTGAGTGAACCCACACTGCAAACAGAGCACCTCCAGCTTTCAGCTCATCAGCTGGATCCCAAGAGCAGCTCGGCTGAGGCTGCAGAGCTGGCCAAGAACCGCCACGGGTGTCAACCCAGCTGCCAAGGGTTCGACTGTGCCACCCGACGCTGTGGGATCTCCCCTCACCCCTCGCCGTCACGTCCCCCCCTCACTCACATCCACAAATTCCGTGGTGAGTTTGAAGGCAGATGTCTCAAAGCCAAGATTCCTGGGGGAGCTAGAGAGGATGAACCCAAAATCGATGTGGATTATGTGTCCATCCGCATCCAGCAAGATGTTGCCGTTGTGCCTGTGCGGGAGAGGGGAAACTTGCCGTTAAACTTTGCAAGCGCGTGCACGGCCCCGGGAGCAGCAGCACTCTCTGCTCCCAGGATTTCCCTGCTGTATCCGGGGACGAAATGACGAATCCCGGTAGAAGACACAGCAATACAGCGCGGGGACTTGCCTGTCCTTGACCTGCAGTAGGTAGCACACCAGGCAGTAACCGGCACAGCTCTGCACGAAATTCCTCTGGGCCGTCAGGAAGGATTCGGTATTGTAATTGCCATGTTCTTGCAGGAAATAATCCAGCAGCGAAAGCAGGGATTGCTTCTTGATTTGGTGGATGGACACAGCATTCACGACTGGCTCAATCATGCCGCTGTCGGCAGAGATGACGAGGATTTTGTATGGCTTGATCCAGAGCGGGACACGCTCCTGTTCCCAGATGGACTGTGGGAGAGAGCGAGAAAAATCCCTCAGGATCCAGGGTGGCCCCACACAGCCGCAGCCCCCATGGGCAGCCCCTCTCCCGTCTCACCTGCAGCTGCTTGAGGACCTGGAAGGCGAGCAGCTCCTGCCGGAGGTCGTCCCCACACTTGACGATGACAGAAAGGAGGCGCCAGGAGGGCAGGTGGCCGTAGGGGGACCCTTCCCGGATCCTCCTGCAGGGAATGGGCAAGGTTGAGAGCGTAAGGCAAGGGAGGGTGGGCAGCGAGTCAGCCCGGAGGGCTGCGGTCAGGGGTTGGGGGTTGTGCTGGTTTTGGCTGGGGTAGAGTTAATTTTCCTCGCAGTAGCTGGTACGGGGCTGTGTTTGGGGTTTGTGCTGGGAACAGTGATGAAAACACAGGGATGTTTTCGTTATTGCTGAGCAGGGCTTACACACAATCAAAGCCTTTTCTGCTTCTCACCCCACCCCACCAGCGAGCAGGCTGGGGGGGCACAAGC